CAGGTTAACTTTTGTACTGTCTTCAGTACATGCGTGGTAGGGTAAAAATACACGCGTCGAATGTCCTGGTCGAACGGCAATTCTTGACGATCGATTCCCGCGCTGGCAAACTTTTATTGTGGTGGAATTTAAACGGGGCGGAGGTAATTTAAACGGTGAGCAACGATTCAAACAGGGGGGAGCTTTCCCAAACGGGGCGCAACAATTCAAACAGGGGGGAGTTTTCCCAAACGGGGCGCGCGCGCCCCGTTTGCGCAACGTAGGGAGAACCCTGGATATGAATCTGGACATTTTTTAGAAACAAATTTAGCATTTACTTGCCATTGCTGTGCTACATCTTCATGTGTTTGTGGTTCATTTCAGACATTAGGATCAGCTTTTAGTGATCTGCAACCCATCCAACGACCGAGGGCCAGAACAATATCAACAGGTTTGTCGATGAAGTTAGAATGTTGACTCTTTAATCCTGGTGTTGCCTTTGCTCTTTTTTGTGACTCCCACAAGCTGTCTCTGTGTGGTGCCCACACACCTAGTGTCTTTCAGGTGAATAACAGGCCTGCCTCCCATTCCAGAAGTTGTGTTAGTGTAATAGTTATCGCATGTGTCGATGCACCATAAGTTCTATGCACTTCATTAGAATTGATGTCACAAAAACTGATGTATAACTCTTTATTTGCTGCTGCTTTGTTTAAAGTGTCGGAAGCAGAGTTATTAGTACCTGGTTGCATATATTCCATTTTATTGGTAAACATTGTATTTAGTATGTGGTGGTAATAATTGTGAACATATATTCCATGCCATTACTGTGCGGAATTTGACTGTTTGTGATTCTGCACTATTTTTTAAATGTTTTAGGTATTCCCCCATGTTGTACTGAGATGGCTATAGTTTTTAATGGAGCACGATGCACTTACACCCACAAGTGCCTGTGAAGTGAAAAATGGAATGATTAGTGTTTTTGCATGAAAACTGAGATTGTATCTTTACTTTCTTCTCTTGTTTCAGGTGTCAACGTTGCCTCGAGGGGACTACCGGCTGTATTCAAATGGGATGGGGGTGGCAAACGTGTTTTTATCTCCGGCAGCTTTGACAACTGGCAGACTAAAATACCGATGGCGAGAAGGTAGATAACATTGCGTGCGTGTATCATTGCAGGCACAACAATATCTGCACACGCACTCCCAACCGTGTTCAGGTGGGATGGGGGCGGCAAAAAAGTCCTTATCGCAGGCAGTTTCAACGGCTGGAAAACGAAAATACAAATGGTGAAAAGGTACGTGCCATGTGCAATAAAAAACAAATGTATCCCTCCCGGGCATGGCTTTCTGGGGTGTTTACTTTTCTTTGCACTGGCATGGTTGTTCGGCTCTACTGTTCTTTTCATCTTGCACTGATAGTGGTGTAAGAGGTAGATGTTATATACTTAGTTATGCATGTAGCACTGCTAGATTTCTATAGGGACTATCAGGGATGGGAATTTTTTGCATATTGCAATTTTCGGTGTTTTTGTGGTCATCAGGGCCATTGTTGAGATCAGTATAAATGTGAGTATAAACATTTGTGGAGGGATGGGTAAGAAATTAAGAATATGTAAATTAATGCTGAGATAGTGGTCACCAGAATGCACCATAATGCATACATTTTTCAAAATTATTTTGATGGGAATTGCCCCCCCCCCAAAAAAACTCATTCATACCAACTTCACACACTCAATTGGCAGTATTTGTAGTGGTTTATTTCTTAGGTGATTTATATCGCTGATATATATAGACATTTAAATATGCTTATTCATATATGTACACATACGTGTGGGCCCATGCCCACACCTGTACATACATTTTAGATATGTAACCTTAACCATTTGGTGGTGTCGGTGGATGGGGCAAATCACGTTGGCTCTGCAGATTTAACCATTAAAGGCATAATAGGCCCATTGATTATGCAATGTCGACGAATGCTAGAGTAACTGGCACCTTGTGTAGTTAATAAGTACATAACCTTACATCCAAACGCGTATTAGCTTGTCCAATATCACTGCTGGTTACTAAGAAATGTCTAATTGAAATCCGCGGTCAAATAAATCAGTTGAATATCGCAGCCGCCGAAGCGGGTGTGATACAGATTATAGTGCACCGGACATTTTCGCATGCATGCTCGGACGTACGCAATGCTATCATCAATGATTTCGATTCTTGTGGTCTGAGTGCGCATTCCGTACGTTATGGTTTTACTCTTGAGAATATATGAACATACGAAGATCTTGAGATTACAAGCAACATATAAATGTGAAAAAGAATCACGAAGCGTCTGTGTTTATTACGTTCATGCAGTATCTCTGCGCACTGGTAGATCATCTCCAGCTGTTACCGTTCAGCTGCTTGAAAGCTCTTGCCGCTGTATTGCGCTTAGCTGGCATGCTAGCGATAATTGTAATGAACGTGGAATCCATGTACGAAACAGGTACCACCACGTGCACCTCCATTTCATCTGGCGTCCAAAACATACGGGCCGAACAAATGTTTTACGTCATCACTTGACTCCTGGATGACATTTACGGCACGTAAATGATAGGTTGATAAATATCTACAACCGATTTCAAGTCTTGTTTGTAATGTAACCAGCAGTGATATTGGACAAGCTAATACGCGTTTGGATGTAAGGTTATGTACTTATTAACTACACAAGGTGCCAGTTACTGTAGCATTCGTCAACATTGCATAATCAATGGGCCTATTATGCCTTTAAACAATATTTTCACCGCTAATGCTTTTCTAAAACAAATGTTACACATTTTTATTAATTCTTAGTATAGTACCTAGTTTTATGAGCCTTTCTATAATTCCTGGGTTTCAGATTTTATTCAGACTGACCAAACTGCATATTTGACTCCCTTCATCTTGGGCCAACACTTGAAAATATTGGGAATAATTGGGCAGGGTAATACTGGCAAAAGTAAATCCTATACTTTTGCCATTTCCTCTGATAATGCATGGTTATTTCATTTGTATATTTTAATTATATATTGTAGCATAGAATTGTTTTTACTGTTTCAGTTCGAATATTTATCTGGTAACTGCTGTTGTATAGAAGAGGTTGCGAAATTTACTGTAGTCTGGTACCGTTAGTGTGATATTATCAGATATACTCATGAACAATTGGTTTGCAACAGCAACTAATGCAATTTCATATTCAATAACATTGCCACCTAGTCATGATTTTAAAGGGACACATGATTCTAGGTTACTTGCATATTTTCAGTTAAACTAGGTTTAAATTATGCTACATTACAAATTTTATTGTTCAATTTTTAGCTCATCTGACATAGTCAGATGCAGCTTGTAGAATCGCATGACCGTCCGTCCGTCCGTCCGTCCGGTCGTCCGTCCGTCCGTCCGTCAACAGTTGGGCACAAATCTTAACCGCTTGACGTACGGTCACGATATTCGGGTCGTTGGGGGGGATCGTCAAAACGAGTTGGGATGTCGAAGCTGGGGGTCAAAGGTCAAAGGTCAAGAGGTGTAAAAGAAGGGGGAACATTCACTCCTTAACTTAAAGTGATTACGTCACCGTAAATAGTAAA